TTGCATCGTCAATAAATATATAGTGAATTTTTCATGATAACAACTGATAACAAAATTGATCAAGGCTGATAACTAAATAAGTTATGCGATAACAACTGAAAACGAAATGATATCTGGGATAACAAGACTGGATGATATCGGGCTGTTATTCTACTCTACTCAGGTTGGATGTCAGCCATTCCATAGCAAAAAGAAATAGTAGTTCTCAGAATTTCGTAAAAATTGGTAGTTTTGTTCCTTATTGCAAAATATAAGATCCGCAATTTTTATTCTGTCATTAGGGTGACCATTTACATGTTAGGGTAATCAAAAAAATCTTTTTTCCAAAAATGACTTTTTCCATGTAAAAAACAAAGAGAATCAATGTTTTGCAAAAAGAGTTTTAAAATACCTTCCATTTGATATTTTGATCTTTGAAATCGACCCAAAGTTATAATTAAAAAAAAAAGTCATTTTTGAAAAAAAAAAAAACGATTTTTTGGACCATCTTAACATGGAAATGGTTACCCTAATGAGAAAATAAAAATACGGGTCTAATATGTTGCGATAAGGAATAAAACTACCAATTTTTACGAAATGTTTAAAACCGCTTGATCGTTTTGAATGGCTGTATAGATAGATTTTTGAAATCTTGGCTGGTAGTTGAACATCTATTTATTGATTTTTCAATATAGTTTTGGACTTTGGCAGAGCCTGTATGAAGATTGAGTAATTTTAGTAAAAGGCTCGATTTTGAATTTGTTTCGCAGTGCTCGTTCTAAATTGTTTTCGTTAAATCTGCGCTAGGAAATTTTTGATTCCGGACTTGTAAAAATACAATTTGATGGACTTAACTCATGATTCTGCAACACGATGTTTTTTTATGTTTGTAAAGATACTAAGGTAGCTCGAAAGAATTTTCAAAATTCTGGTCTTTGAAAAAATCTCTAGAGCCTGAAACCTTTCCTAGACTATTTTCAACATTTTAGGCTTAGCGGCACCGGTGATGTCTCTCACCCTAAAAGGCCTGGGTTCAATCCCAGTCGGCGCCGCCGGGATGTTCTGAGGGAAGTAAAGCCGTTGGTCCCGGTCCATGAGTTGATGGGTCGATAGGTAGGGTCCAGGTGTGGGAGCTGCCTCCCTGCCATCGATAGCATAGAGTTCTCTACCACCGTTAGTATTAGTGAGAAGTTTTACTAATACATGCATTTTACTGGTTGAAAATAAAAAACAAACCGCTGTCAAGTCGAACACTTTGACAGCTGATTTCGTGGATGAAAATAATAAACAATTCGATTTTACACGGCTACGCAAGCTAGGTTGTATTAGTGAGATCTTGCGTCGAGAAGTCAATTGGTGCTCAGCACGGAAAAAAAAATCGACGGATTACAAATTAAAGGAGAAAAAAATCTTAAGCTTGGAAAGCTGCCACGAAGTTCAAAATTGGGACTAGAATTTGTATTCGACACTTAAGAAAATTTTTGATAAGCCTATGACTATTTCGAGATCACATGCAATGAATTTGGAATTTTAAAAACTGGACGAATTTTGATGATAACCAGTTTGAAAAAAAAAACAACACAGAGCCGGAAAAAGGGCCTTACAGCTTTTGTAAACAATGACTTCTCTCGTTGATTTCTAAGAATTCTAGACATGCCCACGGAAACCAACACAGCCATCGGGTAAGGGAAGTGATGTTGGTTTAGTGACCTACCCACTCAAAAGTGCTACCAGCCCTGAACTGCCGCATGATGATAATGTGAAGTAAATCCATTTAGTGAATTGTTCAGAAAACAGTTATTTCTGGTTAAACCCGCAATGATTGGAACAGTTAGTCAACTGGTTAAACTAAGCTAAAAACATGAACCTTGATGTATAAAATAGCATTCCATTTTTCTGTATGGCGGACGTCACTTATGACGTGAAACATTTCCACTGCATGGTTCATATTTGTCTGCATGCTTCAAAATAAAATTTCGTACGTAAGTGTGGAGTCCTTTTGAGTGTAATTTACGATGCAGATTTGAGTGAAAATAGACCGTGGCGTTTACGTCCCTTTGTCATCTCACACAAGTTAAATAAGAAAAAAAAATCTGAACATGAACTGGAAACGTACTTGAATAGAAATCATAATGTTATAAAAATAACTGAAATCAGAAAGTGAAAATGGACTCAATAAACATTAAATTAACTGAAAATGAACTGTAACTGAACTGAAAATGGATGTAATGGAAATAGCATGTAGATGAATTAAGAATTAGCAGAAACTGAAAATGAATAAATAAAGTTTCTTTAAAAATACAGGAAATAAAATAAAAATTTACTGGAAATGAATTGGAAACAGACTGGACTAGGAATAATACAGATTAACAAAATGTTCTGGCATCACTGCAGCGCTTCACTCACACTTTTGGAGCTAAGTGTGTTCCTACTCGTCGGCCGAGAAACGTAAACGGCGAAGTGAACAGTAAATTGATAGGTAGTTTAGAGTTCAGTGTAGTAAATTTTTCTGAAGAATTAGGAAATTTTTGTAGAGGTAAGACGGAATTATTCTTCCCCAGGTTGAAATTAAATTATGCTGTGCGATTTAGGTTCTGCTCTGCTACAAGATTATCCCGTCTGGCTCCAAGGTAGTGAATTAGAGTAGCTTTATTAAGGAGAAAACTAATGTAAGTTAGCTTTTATATTGTTTTGCATTGTTTATTACAAAGAATTAAGAGATTTTTCTCTTTAAACCATCCGAACATCCTCAAAGATTATCGCGGAATGGATTTGGAGTTGGACGGAAAGGATTGCGGAATGTGCGATCGGCAGAACTCGGCCGATAATATGGTGCAGTGCAATGTCTGTCAAACTTGGTACCACCTGAATTGTGTGGTTAACTCACCGGGAGTGGTACATAGACCGTGGCATTGTGCGAAGTGTCCCCGATTGCAGGCGAAACCGGCACAAGCCGCGGAAGTGAAAAAGAAAAACGGTAAGAAAGCGACTGCGAAGCCACAGAAGGGAAAAGCTGCAACCAGCGGCCCGATTCCGGCAATTTCTGAGAAATCATCGAAAGTTGCATACTCCGAGAGAGGAGGGAAGGCCAGCGATTCCAGAGGTGATGGACCGATTGCCAGCGGTGTTGCAAAAGACTATCAACGGGGAGGTGCATCATCAAGGGGTTTAAAGGTACACCGAAAAAAGCATCCGGAAGTAGAGAGACGCGTGAGTTCTGTAGGTGGATCTACGGGATTGAGTGCATCCAGTTCTCGAGCTTCAGCGCAATTTGCGGTCATGAGACACTGATAGCATAGCCAAGTGCAAATCAAATCGCCGCGAGACAGGTGTGGCCGAAGCAATTGCCAACGTTTTCGCGTGAACCCGAAGAGTGGCATATCTTTTACAGGCCTGCTTCTGCGTGTGGATTTTCGCCCGTCGAAAATATCATTCGACTGCGAGAGTTTCTACGGGGTCAGGCTCGTGAGACGGTAGTGACGAAACTAATGTTCCTAAATGCTGCACCGTCCATCATGGAAACCCTACGGCGGTTATATGGGCGACCGGAACTGCTCTTTAAGAACCTGCTTGCGGAAGTGCGACATTTGGAGGCACCGAAGTCTGCAATAAGTAAATAAATAGATAAACAATCTCCACCACATTTTGTCATATCTGCATATCCACAATGCAGCAGCTTAACTATCAGCTCCCAAGCATGTCCTAGGCAATCAAATGAAGCATCCTACAATATGGTAACCCAGACGAACTTATTGATCCGACCGAAGCCCAATAAGTTTTCCCATGAAACACCTTTTAGCCGAAACATGAGCGTTCGAAGCCTTTTGAACAACATCATGCCATCAATGTCGCTGGCTGACAGTATCCCATCCATTGAACCAAAAAATTGTAGGTGTATCAAACCGTGCCCACACAACGCCTTGTTTTCTCCACTTGATAGCGGCTCACATAAAGGATCCTCGACCTTGACCTTGTTAGGTCAATGATGTTTGCTCGATATGTTCCGGCAGCGAAGCGCCTTGGCTGCCGCCACACTGTTGCTCATACGGTGTGCCATTGTTTGCCTTGCCTGTGAATAACGAACATGCACCACACACACACACACACACACAATGCTGTTGTGGTGTTATTGTCATGTACTGTGTCAAGACGAATTCAGGAAAAGCCAACACCTTAAGCCATTGTATTCGGCTTTTCCTTCTATTTCTCGGTATACAGTTCATCTCGGGCAGAAACAATTTAGGTTTGGGGCTTGGCATGGCATTTCGAGTATTTCCCGACGACAAATCGATGCCGTATAATGCCCACAATAATAGGATTTGCCACGGACGAAACAGACAGTGGCAGAGATTTCCTACTTAATTTGACGGATGCCAAACGGGGGTAGGTGTTTCGTTGGAACGCATTTTTCCATCAAATGTGATGCCAGAGTTGAGCCTCCGATCTGGTTGAGTGAAAGAGGAATTCTACGAACGGAATAATTATGGAATGGGTCCATTTTAATTATCTACATTGGGAAAGTCGGACAGTCATTAGTTGCTGATTGTTTTCGGTTTGACTTGAAATCCATTGTAATGAAACTTTCTCCTTCGATTTGCTTACAAAGTTTTGTCTTCGAATGCTGATAGGACCTTTCTAATTATTAATCGAGGTATCGGACATTTTCTGGGAAGTGTTATTAGGGGACAACAACTAAAGTTGATGGCATTTAAATTGTGTGAGTGCGTTTCCCTAAATAAAAAAAAATTACTACGATATAATTGTGTTATAATATTCAAATAGAAAAAATACATTTAAATTTGATAAAATATATTAAATTAATAATCAACTTCGAGTGTGTAAAATGAAGCCAAACTGATAACTAAATCAAGCCACCTTATTTCACAAAACTAATTAAAGTTTAAAACCCGACGTGAGCGACTATTCTCCCCATCCACTAAATCTGCATAGTTAATTTTACTCTAGTGAATCTATTACCCATTCCCAAAATCTCCTAGAAAGAAAACGAAAAAGAAACTCACCTGTTCTCGTCGACGTGCACACATTCCTCTGGTCGGTCCTCGGCACACCGAGGTGTGAATTTGGCCTCCAGTATCGCTACCCTGGATTCGAGATTGCCACACGTTAGCCGTATTTCGGTGTCGTAGCAGCCCCACTCCTCGATCACTTCTACACAGCGACCAGAGTGTGAGCAAGTTTTCGGTTACCGGAGCCCAACGGATATGGTGTCAGTTGCGGAATTTTCCAGGATGTGAAAATGGCACATGAAAATAAGATAGAGAAAAAAAGAGAAAACCGACTTTAGCCAAGACGCAGAACGACCGACCGACCGACCGGCGAGATAAGATATATAGGGTAAAGAATTAAGCTCGTATAGCAGCACTGCGATCGATAATGGAGGGTTCCTCCGTTCTGCTCTTAGTTTCGTCTCGATTATTTTTTCGGCATCCTCTATATAAAATATACGCTGTGAGTGTACGAAGATTTTCTCTATATTGCACAGACGTGTGGGAACCGGCGGCAAATTGAAGATGCTACTTGAATTCAAGTAATGGGTTCTGTTCGGCTTTCTCTTTCGCCCAGTTCAGTAACTTCCCGTTGGCACATTGATTTATGGGGTTAAATTTATTGTACATGTGGGCCGAACAAAGCGGAACAAGTTGAGAACAAATTGTAAGTTGATACTAATGTTGTTTTAAAACCCGACAAGTGGGTTATTGGTGCAGGCTCAGGGAGGCTGACTGGATGCTGTTCTGTCGTAAATGTCGGACAGCAAAATCCTGAAAAGAGACTATTGCACGGACAAAGGGAGCAGGACGTTGTGTTTTAGAAACAGGCTCTGTCGATGTTTGTATGAAACTTTTAGTAAGTTATTTAATATAACATCCTTCTGAAGCTTTACTTATAACTACACGCTAAACAAACGGGATGAACATCAAAATCGATTTCTTACATGCTCTACATGTTTTCTTACATCAAATTTAATGACATTTCTTTCAATAGTCTGTAGCGTTCAAGCAAAATTTTCCAGAATTAATATTTTCGTATTTTTTGTTTTCCACATCAACAGATTCAATGTAGCCCCAATGATGGATAACTTAAAATTAAAAGTGAAGGTTACAAATTAAAAAAAACATAAATTGACACTCATGCACGCCATCATTCACACATTCACGGTTCAGCCAGAAAAAAAATAGGAGAAACGTCTCCGTAGCATCTGTCGTGATAGGTTGAAATCAAATATCGAAAAGATCGTAGTTTGCGCGATGAAGTTGCAATCTCAGCATAACGTTGTTACGCAGCGCTCGGGGTTGGACGTTGATGTTAACTTGCTACAAGATGTAATGTAATGTGTCCGCGATGAGCAGGACTATTCAAGTATCTCTTCTAGTTTGGAGAGGCATCAACTTTCAGCGACTTTCATGGTCCTGTTTACGAGTGTCTGGAAGGAGTCTCCCATCCTGCACTCCCAGGCAAGTATACGTGTGTTATCAAACCTTCCCAAGTAACCAAAAGTTCTGATAAAAGGCTATTTGTGGCTTAAGCAGCTTGGTTGAAGGTGGTCTATAGAATTCTAAGCAGCCTCATTTTTAAGTCGTTATAAGAACTTGAAATTTCCGGTATCATAATTGAAGAGCATTCTAAGCAGCTTCTGGTGGAACTTGAACGGAACTTTTAGAAAAAAAAATTAAAAAAGGTTTTTGTACTCTACACCAATTCTATATTTAGTTCGCACTGTTATGAAAGTTATTTCTAAAGGCAGGTATTAATGTGTATTGGTTTATCAGCATTAGTAGTAGAATTGGAGCTGTTTGAAATTGGTGTTTCCCCGCATGGTATTCCAACACACTTGTGGCGCAGTGGTTAGCAATCGTAGATCGCATGCTGAATACACGGGTTCGAATCCTGGAATTTACTCTTTAATTTTTTTATGTTTGAATAGAATGTTGATGCATTGCATAAATATAAGAATTATGATTTATTCGGGCCACTGATCATTTCATATTTACGTACATTAAATTTTGTTACTAATAGAGACTTGTGCAGATTGCTTCATGTGGCTTGAAAGTTCTGTTGGAACTTTATGGAACTTGAAAGTTCTGTCGGAACTTTATTTGAACTTTATGGAACTTCAAAGTTCTGTCGGAACTTTATTTGAACCTTATGGAACTTGAGTGATTTTAATCGTTGAATGCAGAACTTTTGGTTACTTGGGTTCTGTCCCTGATGATTTGCAAAGTTTCAACCCTAACTCTGACCCAATCCTACCTACTAATGATGTGTACTCACGAAGTCAAAGTCACCTCACTCTTGTTGGTGATTGTTAGTTTAGTGAATGTCTTATGAAGTATTCGATTTTTTTACAGGTCTCATTCTTGCATTTTTTTTTTTTACCCGCCACTCTCCCCCTCACCAAAGAGCTCGATGTGAGCTCCCTGGTAGTGGACGCAACTTTTCTCAGCTCTATTGGCAACACAAAATAAACAAGAACTTTATAGAACGAGCTGAGAAATTTAAATATACTACAAATTAAATTAAATAAATCTAAGAAAAAGAGAGTGAATAATATGAAATAGTTATTTCTATGGATTCCCAGTGGAGTTATTCTCCTTTTAAGGGATCCTTAAAAACACCAAGTTAAATAAACTAATTTACTACTACTACTGTTTATAATGGTTCATACAGTTTACATAAGAAATTCATTGATTTTTCCTTTGAGGTAGTGTTTAACTTTGAGTTTAAATTGATTTCGATTTACGATTTGTTTTAGTTCACTAGTAAAGCATTATATTTAATTGGACCTATATAAGATATTCGTTTTTGACCTTGACTTGTGGAAGCTCTAATGACTGTTAAGTTTCCGGCTTGCCTGGTACTGTGAGAACGGTTGCCAATATTGATTACAAGATTAGAATGTGTTCTATCATTAAGAGTGTCTGTAGTTCACATAAACCTAAAATTGGAAGGACATTATGATTTCTGCTTGCATAGAGTTCAAAAGTTGAATATAACGGAGGTAGGTTGAAAATTATTTTTAAGCACCTATTTTGCAAAACTTGTAGTTTAACTAATTTTGATTTACATGCAAGGCCCCAAGCTATGATAATATATTGTAATTGAGAATGTATGTGAGCATAGTAAAACTTAAGTAAGACATGTTGCGGAACAAAGCTAGAAACCTTTCTCAAAACGCCACATAAAGCCGCTACTTTTTTCTCTATTTGTTTTACATGTATTTCCCATGAAAACGTAGAATCCAGGTAAACACCCAGATATTTGAAAGAATTCACTTTTTCAATAGCAGTTTGATCAAGTTTAGGTTCCAAATGATTAGGCAATATTTTTCTTGAAGATCTAAAAATCATGTATTTTGTTTTTTGGAGATTGAGGGACAAGAGATTACTAGAAAAATAAATCTTCAACTGGTGCAAATCATGATTAATACTATCAATGATTAAGTGAGGATTAATACTCGGGTAAAATATTGCAGTGTCATCTGCAAATAATCTAGGAGTACCGTTTAATGTCAAATTGCCCAGATCATTTATGTAAACTAGAAATAACAAAGTACCAATATTACTTCCCTGTGGAACCCCTGTTGAAACAGGTTTAAAGGCGCTTCTGACACCATTTATGCACACAAACTGTTTTCGATTTTTAAGATAACTTTCAATTATGTTGTAGGCAATACCTCTGATACCATACCTATAGAGTTTTTTCAACAATATCTCGTGGTTTAGTGTGTCAAAGGCTTTTTTGACATCTAAAAACAAGGCTCCAACAATCATTTTTGAATCAATTTTATCAATGATGTAGTCCACCAACTCGGTTATTGCTGTTGCTGTACTACAAGCCTGTCTGAAACCGTATTGAAATTTATAGAGAAAATTGTTATTTCCAAAAAAATCTAATAAACGACTGACTAATAATTTTTCAAATATTTTATTAAATATTGACAAAGTTGATATTGGTCTGTAATTATCAGGCAAACACGGATCACCAGATTTAAAAACAGGAGCAACTTTTGCAACTTTAAGACAATCTGGATGTATTCCTGACTCAATTATTTTATTGAAACATTGACACAAAACATTTGAAAAGGCGAGAGCATTGACTTTCAATAAATTAGTCGGAATATTATCTGGACCAGGGGCTTTGTTAGAACTTAGGCCATTAATTATGCAATTGATTTCGTTGGGAGCACTAGGGCGCAAAAATATAGAGTCTCTGAAGTAATTGACATTAGACAGTGGATCACGTCTATCTGACATTGGAATCTTATCAGCTAAGTTTACACCAATATTTGAAAAATAATCGTTAAGAACTTCACAGTTTTCTACATCACTAGTTATACTATTTCCATTCACAGTCAAGTTTATTTTATTTGCGCTTTTGGAGCGTCCAAAAATTTCATTTATATTTTTCCAAAGTTTATTGGGAGTGGTATTGTTCAAAATGTTTTCATAATATGCTTTTTTACAAGTTCTTCTAGACTACAATCATTTACCGCAACGTTCCGACTCTAATTTAAAGGTCCAGCTATTTATACCTTTCGGAGTGTTGAAACACCCTCCAAAGGTGGCCTCTTTGTCAGTCAAAATTGGATTCCTTACCAACAAAATTAATTAATGAAACCGATAATGACCATGCATCAGAACCCTTGTCTTAACCACTTCAAACTAGGGAACAACGAATAGAAGATACGTGGTTCCTAACATAGACTAACTAACTCATTTTTTCTTTGCTTCAAGATCATCCTTGGTGGACAAAGCCGAGTCTTGTCACTATCAACAAGACATAAAATGTAACAAGGACTAAGATGTGTTCCTTGGATTACTGAAAAATCCTCTTCCCCTAGTTTGAAGTAGTCAGGACTAGGAATCGGTAGTAGATCTTACATCCTGTAACGTACCACGAAAACGTCATCTACCCACGTTACGGGGGAGGTTAGCTTTAAGGAAGCCCCTAATCCTTCCACCACAGTCGAGCCAACTCCGTCCAACAGTCGTCCGGGCACTGTGTGTGGTTTTGGAGAAGGGTTTCAATCTGTCATTCTGTGTTTGTATTAATTTAAATTTGCTTACTTTTTCACATAACTTTTACTTTATATTGCCGAATAGAGATTCCTAAATATATTCCATTTCCTATTAACACAAATGTTCCCTCCC